CTGCTGCCTCAGTCCCGTGGCGCAGACAGCCAGGCTCACCCCACGTCAGTGGCACCCATGCAGAAACAGGTACCATGCATGGCCCTGGAGCAGCCACCATTGCAGGAGCTTGCAGGCATCCCTGCCACATCCCGTTACCTCTATGGTTACAGCGCCAGCGTGACTGGCAAGGCAGGTGCTGGGGTGGCCGGGCTACGGAGATGCCCTGCAGGAAGGGCAAAGAGGGGGTAACCCTGTCTGGGGCTCATTCCAGGAGCCTTACCCCAAGGGGGTGATCCCGCTGTCTGTGATTGAGATGGCTCGCTCCACCAAGGACAACAAGTTCCAGGTCTTCACCAGCCACCGGATATTCGTCTTCCGTGCTGAGAATGAGGGTAAGCAAAGACCCAGGTCAGGGCCCACCAGTCCTCAAGGAACTGTCCCTGCCTCCCTCCTCTGCTCTGGCATCCCGGAGGCAGCTTTCACCCCATCTCCAAAACTTACCGCCACAACGAGCAAGAGGGATCTCTCCCTTGCCATGGCTGCCGGGTGCTGTTGGGAAGGGCTCAGACCCACTCCCTTTGTGCCTGGTTCCCCAGCCCAGAGGAATGAGTGGTGCTCCACGCTGCAGAAGAAAGTGACGGACCAGCGCCTGCTGGGGTCCCGACCCCGGCCCGCCAACAGCGCTCACTGCCAGAAGTCGGGCACCCTGGAGCTGAAGGGCCAGAAGTCCAAGGTGTTCGCAGCCCTGAGCCTGCCCGAGATGTGGCTGTACAAAAGCGAGCAGGTTTGTGGCCAGACCAAACACCCCGCTGGCACGGAGGGCTGTGCCAATGGTGGACGGGATGAGAGCGATGGAGGGACGGAGGGAGCTTAGCCAGGGCCTGTGCCAAAGGGAGGGCGGAGAGGAAAAGGACGGGCAGGAGAAAGGGAATGGTAGAGCAGGAAGCTGGAGATCCTGCACAGGGCAGCAGTAGTGGGAGCCTGGGCTTGGAGATGCAGTAGGTACCAGGGTGGACACCCTTCCCAATCTCCTTGCTATCGCCAAATTTTCTTCATCTCTGCCAGGCATTTAGGTCTTAGTCGCACAAAAGCGTCCCAATCCGTCACAGGACAGGTGGGTCAATGACCACGAAGTCACCAGCAAACATACCTGCTGCAATGTGGGCTTGTCCCGCAGGAGGCAGCAGGTCTGCTGTCCACTGAACTCCCCACCTCCTGCCTGATGAATTTTCTCAGCACCCCTGGGTTTTTTTCCAGTCACCTTGTTTCCAGTTTGCCTGGCATGCCCTAAGCAGTATCAAGCTCCTGTGGTTTTTGCTCAAGTTGATACTTGATGATTGTGCCTGACTCAGTGTGGACTCAAATTCCCCAAACAGGACTTGAATGGCCAGACTTCAGGGGCTGTGGGCAGAACTTGCCTTTCATTTCAGGGCATAATGTATTTGCAGGATGCTTTGAGTCAGCCCACATGAGATGGATGAGAGATGCGGCGGGGTACGAGGTCTGGCTTGTCCAGGCAAAGCAGGGATGGGATGCTGGGGGGTGTCGGACGCAGCTGCCTGGCTCCAGCCCCAGCATCGTGGACATGTCCGGGGTGATGTGTCCACGGCAGTCATGGTGCTGCAGAGCCAACACCAGACTCGCTCTGAATTGCAGTTCTTTAAAATGGGCATTGGCATCTGCTTCATTGAGATGCGTGGCTCCACCATCCGCGAAGCCAAGAACCGCAGCTTTGAGCTCATCACCCCCTTCAAAATATTCAGGTATCCCAGGCATCTGGGTGGGAAGAGGTGGAGGGAGTAGCCGGGTGCTGGCCCTGGCTGCCGGTTGCTCCAGGCCCCTGAGTTTTGGCTGTGCTGGTGCTCATAGCTTTGTGGCGGAGTCAGAGCGGGAGAAGCGGGAGTGGATGGAGGCCCTGCAGGAGGCCATAGCTGAGATGCTCTATGACTACGAGGTGGCAGAGAAGATCTGGTCCAACAAAGCCAACAAATACTGTGCGGACTGCTGGGCTTCGAGTCCCGACTGGGCGTCCATCAACCTGTGCGTGGTCATCTGCAAGCAGTGTGCAGGCCAGTACATCTCCCCTGGGGGGCACATGGGGGTCCTGGTGGGTGTGGGCTGGGCCTGCCTGGGCAGGCAGGGTGCTGGCTGGGATATAGGTGCGACTTGGGTACCGGTTCCCCTGGCAGGATCAAGGGGTGCTCACTCTCCTGCTCCCCGCAGGGCAGCACCGCAGCCTGGGCTCCAACGTTTCCAAGGTACAAAGCCTGAAGCTTGACACCAGCGTCTGGTCCAACGAAATCGTACAGGTAGAGGCACTCAGGGCAGGCCGCTGGGGCTGGCATGGCATGCTCAGGGGCCAAGCTGCTTCTCCAGGCAGGGTAGCTGCCCCACAGTCCCCCCTGGGATGCAGGGATGCCAGGCATCCTGCTCCTCCCGGCTGGCCCCAGTGCTCGCCATGACCTTGGGACTCTCCTGCAGCTCTTCATCATGCTGGGAAATGACCGAGCCAACCGCTTTTGGGCCGCTCACCTCCCAGCAGCTGAGGCCCTCTACCCAGATGCCAGTGCCGAGCAGAGACGGGATTTCATCTCCCGCAAGTACCGAGAGGGACGGTATCGCCTGTCCCATCCCCGCTATGCCACTCAGGAGGACGTGCTCCAGGTAGGGGTCATCTCGGGGTGCAGACAAGATGCTGGGGTGCTGGGAACCATCCCAGAGCTCTGGGTCTGAGATGTTGACACCTCCTGCTAGGCTCCATACACCCACACCCTCATGCCAAGCAGTTCTGGGGGCTTGGGTGGGAGGTTGTGTCCCACTTTGCCTGCCTTCGAGCAACCCTGGCAGCGGGTTGGGGTGAGCCAGGACATGGTCCCTATAGGCGCCTGTCTCATCCCAGGCGCTGTGCACTGCAGTGGCAGGACCAGCCCTGCTCAAGACCGTCCTGCAGTTCTTCTCGTTCTCGGAGGCTGGGCTGGCGGCTGAACCTGCTGCCTGCGAAATGGCCCCCGGGGCTGACCTTTGGTGGGGACCGGAGAGTAAAAGGCCCAGGAACCATTCAGGTAACGACGACGCTTGAGACCCATCTGGCTGTGATGGGGAAGCTTCCTCCTTGCTGCTATCCCTGTGCCCCACAGCATGCCCCAAGGCTGGAGACCGCCAGGGCATCGGGTGCTGTGGCTCTCGGGGGTCCTGCCTGCCCCACTGCACCTGTCTTTTGGGTTGGGGCAAGGCAGCGGATTCCTCTGAGCCCCTTTTCAGGGAACACTATGCCTGGCACATCCCCTTGCCTACACCTGCATGAGTGGGGTCTCCCTGCCCCTTCGGTACCCACGCTTTGGTGGATGCCTGCTCCCACCCAGCTCTCAGCACTGTTCCCTGCAGGGAGCCCCTGTGCGCAGGAACCAGGTTCAGAAGGTGTCTACAACGAGATTACGCAGCCAGTGATGCACAGTGGGTACCTGTTCCGGGCTACGGCACCCCCCAAGCTCCCAAGCACCAAGAAGAGCAAAGAGGGTAAGCGTGGGGAGTGTGGGAGGGCAACCAGCAGGGTGCCCACCCCAGGGCCGCTGACCCCCCAGTCCTGCAGACTTCCAGCGCACGTGGTGCTCCCTGGAGAGAGACCTGCTTTTCTACGAGACGGAGAAATGCACTGAGCCCCTTGGCCACATTGAGAGTGGGGACCTCATCTCCCTGGGCGTAAGCAGAGCCCAGGCGCTCGCCAGCCCTGGCCCCACCGAAAGGTACCCCGACCCGTGCCCCCAGCGCACGCCTAGAAAGCCTGCGGGCACACCGAGGGCAGGGATGGGCATTGCTCCCTGCTTGGTGCAATGGTCTTGTCTGGCTCTGGGTGCACGTTCAGGGTAGGGGGCTGCCCTGATGGGCTACTTTGTCCTCTGCAGGTTTCGCTTCACCCTCGAGCTCTTCCTCACTGGGGAAAAAGTGCAGCAGCTGGGAACCGATGGGCCTGAGACGCTGCAAGCCTGGGCCAGCGCCATCGGCAAGGTGAGCCAGCCCCAGCCCTGGCCCCCCATGCCACTGGTGTGTCCCTGGGCTCTGACCCCACTCCCCCATTGTGATTCCTCCCAGCTCTCCACGCTCTTCATCCTCCGTGGCAAGAACCCTCCTTCCCTTTGCAGGGGCTCCCATCCTCCCTGGTGACCTGCCCCCATCCTCACGGGGGTCTGCGCTCGGGGGCTGAGCCCTGTCTTTACCCAGCTCATCTCTTGCTCTGTCCCACAGTGGTTCACACCCGTGAGCTGTCACTGCCTGCTGGGCTACGAGTTCCAGCGTGTGGGCCAGCTGCGCTACAAGTGCATGCTCAACCCCGAGCGGTGGCAGCAGGCCTTCTTCATCCTGCAGAAAGCCCACCTCTTCATCTGCCCCACCGAGGATGATGGGACTGAGGACAGCATCAACCTCCGGCGGCTGCAGGAGCTCAGTGAGTGCCATGCCACAGCCTGGGACAGGCACCGCAGGGAGGGTGTCTGTGCATGGCTCTGACCCCTCTGACCCTAATGCAGGTCTGGTTCCCCCCACGGAGACCGCAGAGAAGAAGGAGCTGCTGATCCTGGTGGAGATGGGGAGGTGGGTCCTGGCTGCGGGAATGGTGGGGAATGAGCCAAGCAACCCCAGCAGGCTGCCCGAGGCAAGGGCAGTCGTGCGTGGGTCGAAGCTGAACCCAAACCCATGATGGGGATGCTACTGGGACAGCAAGGCTGTGGCCAAGGGGCTCACAGAGCTCATCCCAGACCAGGGCCTCTCGCTGGGGTAGGGTGTCCCTCTGCTCAGCCTGGCTGGGCCTTGCTCTCTGACCTAGAGCCAGGCTGTGTGTACGGGCAGGAGGGGATAACCTGACCCCCCGGCAACCTTCATTCCCTCTCTTCTGCCCTTGTTGTTCTCAGGACATTTTACCTGCAGGGCTTGTCGCGGGCAGACTCAGCGGCATGGTACACCGACATCCAGGCATCAGCGGGGGGCCGGGGTAACGCGCTGCGGGACCAGCAGCTGAGCCGGGGGGATATCCCCATCATCGTGGACAGCTGCATCGCCTTCATCACGCAGTACGGTGAGCACAGCGTGGCGGCAGCACGGCCAGAGCATCCTCCGACGCACGGTGGCCAATGGGTCCAAGCAGGAGACACTACTCGTGGGGCATCAGCCTCACTGGGGATTTTCTGGGAAGGATTGGGCCCCCATGACCACATGTCCCTGCCCCAGGTCTGCGGCATGAGGGTATATACCGCAAGAATGGAGCCAAGTCCCGGATCAAGGTACTGATGGAGGAGTTTCGGCGGGATGCCCGCAATGTCAAGCTGCGTATCAGTGACAACTTCATCGAGGATGTCACCGACGTGCTGAAGAGGTTCTTCCGTGAGCTGGAAGACCCCGTTTTCACTCTGGAGCTGCACCCACAGTGGAAGGAGGCTGCAGGTATCTCCTTCACCTGGTGCCTGCTCCCATGCTGGGCTGCCTGCCAGGGACCCCTGGGACCAATGTCCCTCGGGGTGGGGTCTTGGTGCCAGCCCTGGTGTCATGTCGGCTCTGGATCTGCTGGATTCAGCAATGATCCATGACTCATTATCGTTCCTGCAGAAATCTCCTCAAAGCCCCAGCGCCTGGAGCGGTACAAGGAGCTCATTCGTCGCCTGCCTCGCCTCAACCACAAGACCCTGGCTGCACTCATTGGGCACCTCTACCGGTCAGTGGGCCACCTCCCTGCGGCGTCCCCTGGTCCAGCTGGGATCCCCAAGGCCAACCAGCAATGTGGGGTCTCCCCAATGCCCAGGGAGTGCTAGCTCCCATCCCTGAAAGCCAGGAAGGGCCCTGTGGCCATGCCCAACCCCACCAGCTCCCCAGCTGGTGCTGGGGTGTGCTGGAGCTCGCTACTCTGGGACAACTCAAACATTACCAAAGTCATCCTGCAGCAAGGAGGAGCGATAGGAGGTTTGGGAGAAGGGGACACCCTCCGTGTAGGACATAAACATCACCCAGTGCCCAAAAAAGAGGGAAAAACCCAAATTCCCATCTCCAGCTTAGAGTATGGGTGGGGCTGTTGTCTGGTTTGATGGCAGTTGGAAGTCTTTGAAACAGGAACTACTTGGCTTGAAGTTCTCACTGCTGGGGAGCTGGAAAAAAGCGGGCTGTTTTTCAGGAGTCTGTATAAGGCAGAGGAGGGTGACCAGGGCTGAAACAGCATCCAGAGTGGGACCAGCCCTTCACTTCTGTTCTCCTTGTCCCAGGGTGCAGAAATGCGCGGACCTGAACCAGATGAGCACCAAGAACCTATCGCTGCTCTTTGCACCCAGTCTCTTCCAGACCGATGGCAAAGGGGAGCATGAAGTCAAGGTGATGGAAGACCTCATTGACAACTACGTCAGCATCTTCAACGTAAGCCCCCTGCGCGCTGGCTCTGTCTGTCTCCCCTTGTATCCCCCCCATACTGCCCACCTCTGCCTCCCCCTGCATCCCTCCATCCCGGCCGTGTGTCTTCAAGCCATATCCTACTCCACGCTGACTCCATGTGTCTCCCTTCTCACCCCATGCACCCTTCCTCCGGCAGATTGATGAGGACCAGGTATCCCAGATGGATCTGGAGAACAGTCTGATCACCACCTGGAAGGACACCCAGGTACTGGGGATGTGCTTGCAGGGCCCCATCACGTCAGGGCCCCCCAGGCTGGTGGGACTGCCTGGAGCATGGGGGGCACTCCCAGCTGCCCCCCCCTGGGTCCCCGCTGCCCCACACCAGATATTTGGGGAAGGATCTTCCCTCATTGTCTGCCCTTTGCCCGTCACCTTGAGGCTCCTGCTCAGGGGAGAAGCAGCCCCAGCTCCCTGAGACACCATTGCCAGCCCCTGGGGAGAGAGGATTGTGCACAGCACCCGTGCCAGCACAGCACCAATGCCACCTGCTCTTCCTTCAGCTCTCACAGGCTGGGGACCTCATCATCGAGGTTTACCTGGAGCAGAAGCTGCCGGACTGCTGCGTGACCCTGAAGGTGAGTCCCAAAGGAGAGCGGTGCCAGAGGAAGCAAGGAGGGATTGCAGGCTCCTGGCACAGCCTGTCCCTGCGACCCATCCTGCCACCACCCGTCACAGCTCCCCGTATGTCCGGCCCCAGGTGTCCCCCACAATGACAGCGGAGGAACTCACCAACCACGTGCTGGAGATGCGCAACGTGGCTGCCAGCCTGGACATCTGGCTGACCTTCGAGGCCCTGGAGAACGGGGAGCTGGGTGAGCGTGGTGGGGGTGGCACGGGGACATGCTCTCAGCATGGCCAAGCTGGTGAGGAGAAGGTGT